TAGTTTTTAGTAATACCTTCCCTATTTATTTGGCACCTTTTCTGGGATTTCTTATACAGTTTTAGGATCATGATAAACAAGACTAATTGAAATTTGTTTAGAAGAGACACAACTGTTAGTGAACTGCATATTCATTTCCTTTACAGGAATGCTATACAGAAGTGCAAACGTTTTTTTTAAGTCTACTAATTCTATAAATCTATTACAATGTAGTATTTGTTTGTAAGAACATATTTTCACAAACTATTGAAGCACAAATAGTCAATACTCATTGAGATTTGAATATTTGACCTCTCGTTAGTTGCTCGACTGCAAGAAACTTTATTTTGAGACATTGGTTTAATTTTTATCATGACATAGGTTTTCAATGTCATGGGATATGGGATGATATTGGGGGCGATTGAATGATGGTTCCTATCCCCTAACCCCTCGATAAACTCGCTCACTTCGGCTTGAACTGGAGTCCCTCCACACCTATTCACTTACACCTTAAAATCAACTAAATTTGGAAAGAGCAATCGAAGAGAGTGGAGGGTTGGGTGGGTAAAAATCAGTAATTTTATGAACCAGACATCGTAGGTGCCCTATTGGCTTCAATATCTTCATATGACATTGAAAATCAAGGGGATGGTCCGGTTGACATGAACCCCCCATGTCACCCTCCCTCCAAACCTCCCAGTGAACTCCCCCACCCGGCCCGACCCAAACCCATCCTTGCACCCCGTCAATTGTACCCCACAAAATTTGGTTGACTTTGAAGTCAAATTTTGACTCCAAAGTCAATTAAATCTTGTGGGGTACAATTGACGGGGCGCGTTTGAGTCGGGCCGGGTTGGAGGATTTACTGGGGGTTTAGAGGGGTAGGAACTACCAAATTTTCGAACAGAGTACCGTATGGATCTCGGGTCATCCCATGACATTGATTCCTAATTCCATGGGAACCATTAATGTCATAAAAATCCCACCTTTGGAAAAGATCCAAAATAAGATCTTCATGTTTTATCTCGAGAATAAGATATATAATGTCAATAATATCAATATATAATACTTAAAAATATGGTGTATTGCTAATGTACAGTGGCATATAGTTACAAAGTAATAGTTCGATTTTGGAGAAAAAAAATATTTACACATGTTTTGAAGAAAAAGATTGTACTCCCTCCGTTCCTAATTTGATTACAAATTGCGGGTTACGGAGTAAAATTTCCTACTTTTTGAAATTATTTTATTTACAAATTAGTATATCAATAAGATATAAAAATTACATATTAAAAAATAACATCAAAAGTTCTACAAAACAAGAGATGACAAGAATATTTTATTTTATCAAATACTTAATGAAATCTCGTAAACAAACAAAAGTTATCGAGAGAAGAGAAAAAAAATTGTAATCTATTTGGGGACGGGGGAAGTATTTTATAGGGTTAAAATAACCCCAAATGGATAGATTATATTTTTTAAGATATTCCAAAAAAAGAAAGTGTCTTTTTTTAGCATTCCATGGAATATACTCCGTAATTGCAAAAAAAAGAAAGTGTCTTTTTTTTAGCATTCCATGGAATATACTCCGTAAGAGTACACTGTATTAAATTCATTTTTTTTTGCCAAAGTATTAAATTCATATTTTAGCTAAATAATTGCAAAATTCGCAAAAAAAATTTACCGAGTACTTTTTAACCAAGCGAGATACTTAGTACCGGAGTAGTATTTTAAATTCACAAAAAAAGTTAAAACTAAAGGAAGAAGAGAACAGTAAAACTGTATTTTATTGACATTTATAAGTACAGTAATTAACACTATTCATTTAATAGCGATTTTGACGCAAATGGTCTTGTTTTATTTAAATAATAATTAAAATGGTTGAAAAACGTAGATCTCTTTGATTTTTTTTATCTTAGTCCTCCGTTTCGGAAATTGTTTTTCTATATTATTCCTTCCCTCGGAATATTTGTGTATTAACCATTTTAATTATCAGTTGTATTAAATTTGTATTGCATGCTGATATAATGAATGAAATTTTTGATAACTTTTTGCTGGATAAATACAATGAGACCACTTTTGTACTAATATTCAATTAAAAGTTGATTATAAAAGTTTATCAAAACGGATTCGAAAAAATTAAACTGACCGAATACTCTGACAGGACCGGCCCTGAGAGAAGTCGGGTGGCTGCCTTGGGCCTCCTAAATTTATAGGGCCCTATACGACCAATGTTATGAGTAGGCCCAAAAATACACTTTTATGCCACAAAAGTACTCTTTATTCAAAAAATATTACTCCGTACTACAGTTTGAGTTTTTTTTTATGTAAGGAGAAGAGGTGCGAGATAAGAGTTCTAGGAGAAGAGGGAGAAAGAAAATGGATCTGGGAAGGAGAAGAGATGCAAGATATAAGGAGAGTATAATGAATGCTGTTAGGAGGGGTTGGCGAGAGAAGTAAGTTTTGAAATTAATGAAAGGGGTATTTTAAAAAGAGTGGATATGAAAACATATAATGAAAAATTTATTTTCGGAGGAAAAAAAGCGTAGAATAAGAAGTTTTTTTCCGGACATATGAAGTATAACACTTCGACAATAAAGTGTAAAAAAATGTTTAGTTAGTCTGCATAATATACGTTTAATAAAATTGGACTAATTTTAAAATATACTTTTGATATATCGGAGTATCAAATTTTTATAATATTTAATTATTTTAAATTATATTTATTTTATGCTCAAAGTGTTATAGAATTTGACAAAAAACTAAAATATGGTAATCTTTTTAGGGCGAGAAGTATCTTTCACTCCTTTCATTCAATTTGAAGATAGAGAACATACTATTGTATACGAATATTAGAGTATCACTACGGACCTATTTGATGACTTTCGGAGGTATGATATGATATGTGTGTTGAAATCCGAGAGTATGATATGAGTTTTAAGGTCTAAATTGGAGTTGTTGGAGGTTTTAATTAAATTCACGATTTAATTAGTGATAGGCGGGGGTAGCTGGCAACAGAGGTGGTTGGCGGTGACGGTGGTAGTTAGTTGCGAGGAATCGTCAACGATTGAGAGAGATATCAAATCTTAATATTGATATCTCTCAAATTCGGGAGATAGAAAAACTCGAGGAATTTACCTAAATAGCACTAAAACATAATGACTTTCCCTAAATGGCACTACATATGTTTTTTTCTCAATGTAGCACTTTTAGTCATTATCCATTAGTCATTATTCAATTAAATGTTTGCTATCACTGGTTATTATGGACATTATAAAGTGCTATTTAGGGAAGAAAACAATCTAAGTGCTATTTAGAGAAATAACTTAAGTTTTAGTGCTATTTAGTGCAAATATTTCTTCTCTTTTGTTCAGCAAACACACCCTGATACTATATATATTACCACTCGCGAATGCTAAATTACCAATGCAATTGTCAACTGGTGTCACTTAAAAGATTTTAACCTTCTTTTGTATTCATTGACCTTCAATCTTAATATAAAAATTACTTGCAATTTTAATAATTGTTGCAAGGACTCTTTTTTTTTTTGCGCCCGGGCCCAAAAATATTAAGAACGGACACTTTCAGCAGCTGATTCACTTGTTTTTCATTTTGGTCACCTGTATTTAGTAATTTAAATTATTGGTCCATATATAATAGATCGACTCAAATTAATCTTCGAAATTAAAATATGTGAATGCAGTTAGTCCTTCTAACAAAATTTAATTTATCTTAAGCAAAGATTTAATACATAAGAAATCAGGAAATGTGATAATAATGAGACTCTTTTACGTTTATTGGAACTCTTCAATTTTTTGATATTATATATTGGTATTATTGGTATTATAAGGCAATATTTCGGAGATAAAATTTAAATATGAAGGTCATATTTTACTTTATTTCTTTATGTTTATATTCATATTTTTGTCTTTCTCGCTTGATATATTAACTAACTAACACATATTTGATTTGTAGCAACACATTAACATACTAGGCATTTCAGTATAATCGTTAATATAAATTTCGTAAAAATAACTACTTTGATATGCATTTTCACACACACACACATGAATTATTATTATTTTGAAAAACATAGGAGTATATGAATTACTTTTCTACAACCCTAAATAATTATTTTGATTTGAGTTTCACGGAGTTTTAAAAAACATAAATTATACTACCTCCTTCCAAAAAATTCATTTTTATTGTCTCAGCCCACATTTACTTTTTCAAGTCAAATTAGATAAACCTTAAACTTCAATTACTACTTCCTCCGTCCCTTAAAGTCGTTTCTTTATTGATTTTTTGGAAAATTAAGGGAGAGATATTTTGGTGTTGACTTTCCAAATATACCCTTGATGTGATGGGTAAAAGTAGGATGTGATAAATATATTATTAGTAAAAAGATATGATGTGATAGATAAGACATGAAAAAGTAAGAGATAAAAGTAGTTTTTTAATAGATAAGAGAAGAAATTAGTGGGACAAGAAAAAAAGAAAGGAGAAGGAGTTTAAGATATGAGAGATAACTATTTTAGTGAAATTTGCACTAAATATGACTAAAACATAATGACTTTCCTAATGTAAGACTTAAACTTTTTTATTCCCTAAATAGGACTTAATAATGACCTCGTGGGAGGAATAATGTCCAGTAATGCTAGACATTTACTTGAATAATGACTACTTGTTAATGACCAAAAGTCCTACATTGGGAAATAAAAACATATGGTCCTATATTGGGAAAGTCGTTATGTTTTAGTCCTATTTAGGTAAATTTCTCATTATTTTAATATTTTTTATTGCATATTAGTATAATGAAATAAAAAATTGAAAGTCCACAAGAGATAAATCTAATAAAATTATTCTTAAACTAATACTGTATATGTTGTCATTTTTGTTTAATTGAAACTTAAAATTCATTTTATTTGTCTCGAAAAAATTAAACTGATGAACAAATACGGTGTGAGCATATTTCTTTTAGAAGAACAACCAAAACAAGAAAACATGTCATTTATTTAGGAAGGGGTGGATTATCATTATTAACCAATAAAAATTACTTCAATGAATTAGTGTGCTAGTGAGAGTGTGTAATAAAACATGAAGATTTTTAAAAGAGAATGAAAAATATAAGAATGCTTATGAAGATTCACATGCAATTAAGAACCTCGGAATCAGTCAAATCAAAGCATGTAATTCGTTTCACTCCTATTCTGATCGTCCCCAGAAGATCCTCCGTGGTGGTTCGGCGGCGGCGGCGGAAATGACGCTCTACCCGAAAAATGTTGTTCATGGCCGCCGCCGCCGTAATTAGCACTCGTCATCAGCGACGTGCATGGCGGCGGCGGCTGGTGCTGCTCGAACATCATGCTATAATTATTACTCGCCGGCGACGACGACGACCTCGCCGGGAAAGCGAGATTGTCTAGCTGCAGCTGCGGCCCGAAGCGGAACCCTAATCCGGCCGCGGCGGATATCGAGAACGGCGACGGCGGCGGCAGCAGGGCGAGGCCGCCGCCGGTGAACTGCTGGACCATGGCCCGGAAGTTCGACGCGTCCGTGTTGAAAACGGTGGTGGGCGTCCGGCGGGACGCCCTCGGCCTCCGCCGAGCCGGTTTGGCCACCCGGCCCTCGGGGCTGATCCCGAGCTGCCCGCCGTGGGAGGACGGAGGAGGTGAGCTGGCGGTGGCGGTGGCGGCGGCGGCCGCCGTGCCAAAAACCGTGCTTTGGGGTTGTACGTTGCGCTGATAGAATTGTACCCAGTCCGGGGTTTCTTTGCTATCCGTCATATGCCCGTTGAAAAAGAAGGCTGGTTAGAGACTTTTTTGTAGGGAGGAAAGAAAGGGTGAAACAAAGACTCCTTTTAGGCTCTTATAAACAACTCATAAGTCACAACGAGTCTCTTTCGTCCTCCACACCCATTTGTCCCAAAAATATGTCTAGTCATATGATCTTTTAATATAATTCAACCACGGCGGGTCATGAGAATTTCATAGCGTGGGCTGAGACGGAAAAAAGATCTAAACACTAATGAATTAAAATGTGTAAATAAATTATACTACCTCCGTCCCAAAAAGATTTACACATTTTGACTAAAGTTGAAATTAAGGGAGGGATAATTTTGTGTTGACTTTTTGCAAAAATACCCTTGATGTAATGGGTAAAAGTAGGATGTGATGTGTAGATTATTAGGAAAAAGGTATGATGTGATAGGTAGGGTTTGAAAAAATAAGGGGTAAAAATGATTTTTTAATAGAAATGGGTAGGATATTGTGAAACACAATATATACACTGTACTCTTTTTCCCTTAGCTATATTTTGTCCCACCGAGTTTTCTTAGTAAGGTTTTTAATGAGCTAGTATAGCTGATCCTCTACTATCAGTTAATACAGGTCCTGAAAAGCCTAGCCAATATTATCCAGTAGCATAATGTTGTTACTTGTTAGTGTATAATGAACGATTATATATCTGAAGGGTTTTTAATATGACAGATATATTTACTCATATTATATAGAATATTTGTTTCTTTGTTTACCTAAACTTTACCTCCTCCTGTGTATGTATAAATACTCCAACCTATGATTAATTAAGTACTCAGTTTACATCAATATTTGAATTACAATTAACATAATAATATTTTACTAAAATGAGTGAATCAAAATCAAAGTAAAGGGTTTATTTATACTTATACACCAAATCAATGTTCTGGAATTAGGTCTGGACGTCGATCCAGACGAGCTAGTGGATCAAGGGTTAACTAGTTGAATCAGACGACTCGGGGGTCATCAACCTGATCAATTATAATTAAAATAAATTATATTATCAGATTTTTTTTAATAAATAAGGAAATTTAGTTTGTGTTTTTTCATTCTTCCATCTAGTTTTCGGTATCATTTTGCATATGTCATCACACTTTCTATTTTCTATTTTTATTATTCATTACAATTAAAGATAAAAATGAATATCTAATAAATATATACTTAAATAGTAATACTAATATTTTAAAAAATAAAAGCTAGGTAATGTATTTTTAGATAATACTCTGTAATCCGTATGTAACTAACACTCCGTACTTATATTTACTTTATTGAAACAAGAAAAAGTAGAAGACAAAATTAATTTTGATATATTAAAGTATAATTAATAAGTATTTCTTAATTTTTATTGATGAAAAAGTTTTTTAATTTTTTTGCAAAAAAAAATAATTATATATTTATATTATTTTTTAGAAAAAAATATAAAAAGTTATTTTTCTATTTTTTGAACTATTTTATAAATTTATAAAACAAATATACTGGATACTATTTGTGTTTCTTTTTTTAAATAATTGGAAGTTTTATTAAAATAAAAACATCTATGATATACTCTTTTGGGCAACATATGTAACAATAAAATAAGTAGTTCAAGTGGATGAAGTGTTCGACGCCATAATACTAAGGTTTGAATCTTTGAACTTTCAAAACATACCTAAATTTTGTATATATTATACAGTATTGATAAAATTTGGCCCCCTAGAATATTGGGCCCAATTCGGTAGGGTTGCTCGGCCCACCCTTGAACCGGCCCTGAATTCAACCTAAGTGTGTTATGACCAATCCAATCTAGTGATCGTTTTCCCATCCATCTAAAATGAATATTTGAGCATAGTGACCTTAAATCCTTAATACGGTATCAAAGCAGGACCTTCTCTCATCCCAAATTCCATTAAGGGGTAAGGTCTATGTACACACCCTTCCCAAACCTTATTTTTTTTGAGATTCAATCAGATTGTTGTTGTTGTTGTACCACTTACTAATTTTGTATATGCCAACACCAAGAGCATGTTCTTAAAAGCATAAACTCTTAACTTCCAATTTTCTCCCGATTTTAATTTCTTCCAGTTTTCTAATTTTTTCAATTTTCTTGCAGTTTCTTCCAATTCATTGTAGTTTCTTCTAGTTTTTTTCAATTTTTTTCAGTTTCTTCTAGTTTCTTCCAGTTTTTCCAACTATTCTCATTTTTCTTCAATCTTTTTTTCCTCCCAAATAATGACTCTAAAAACAAAATTTTTATATTTATTATTATTATTACTATTATTATTATTACAACTATAGTATATAAATTATTTCAAATAATTGAAGAGTGCCAATAAACGCAAAAGAGTCCCATTATCATATTTCCCTATTTCTAATTTGTTCCAAGTTTTTCCAGTTTGTTCTAGTTTTTTTCGTTCTTTTCCATTTCATCCATTTTTTTCTGTTTCCTTCAGGTCTTTCTAAATTTTCAAGTTTCTTCCGATATTTTCGAATTCCTTTTAGGTTTTCCGTGTTTCTTTTAGTAGAACTCCCTAGATAGGAGTAAAAAATTATGAAAATATCTAAATAGGTGTCATAAATCTTTTAAGATCAAAATAAGAATACACACTTTCATTCTTACATTGCCACACTTACCATGTTGTCACATTATAACTGTCACACTATCACCGCGACATTGCCATCCGTTGCTTCCGACCACCAAGTGTCGCCGCACGGATTACTAATAATTGACTGATCACACTAACTTATTACACTGTCATCACTTTTTCACAACACTACCAAGTGCCAACACGTACTTTTACATTAGACTGTCATTATTATTATATTTTAGTATTAAAAGATTTAGGATTTTTATTTTTTCATACTTTTCTATTTCTATACAGCGAGATTTCTTTTTTCTTTTCCTTTTTGAAAAAATCTAATTTCCCCATTTTATCCCAACCAAACCGTTGGTAGTGGGTAAAAAAGGTAGGGGTAAGGAATAACAAAAGGTTTGACTAATTTTGTTTCACAAATTCACCCCCACATACTTTGGGTCTTCGGAGAACATCGAAACGTGGATGGATTATAGAGTTTATAGACTATTTCGTCAACTTGAGACAAAATAAAATCTTTTGAAACTAAATTTCTTACTAAATTATGTTCTTTTAGAATCTTTTTACTGTTTCCTATAAAGGATGCAATATTTTACTTTGAAAAAAAAGTCTTTTATTTGGATTCGTTCATTTTGCTACCACGAAAGTTACTCGTATGCTTTGGTTATACTTTAACAATTGAGGTACTGGCATATACGGAGTATCACGAAATGGGATGTACGATATTTCCTATACATTTATTTCATTATTAATTTTTGAGTAATAAGGCACTCATTTTCGAGTAACTAAATACTCATTTTTTTACATAACTATATTTTAGAAAAATGAATATTCAGTTACTCGTAAATGTATGCTCAATGTAGATGTAGGAGAAAAGCAGTACAACCGGTTATACAGTTGCGACCGCAAGAGGGCATAGCCCAATTGGTTAAGGAAGAGGCAAGTTTGCAACAATGTGCAAAACTTGGTTCTCTGCGGCGTGTTGTGTATGAGTGTATGAGGGATATTCTTTGGCCATTTTAGGCGATAAGAATGAGCTCCTTGCATATCTGTGGGGTTGACTTTTCCTTTTAATGATCCGCTGAATTCTTGATTTACCTCCCTCCACATAATTCGTTTGGTTGGGGTGTGGGGGACCTAAGAATTGAGGCGCCAAAAGATATACTACGTACCTTTATAACTATACTTGAGGACTAAATTAGTAATATTTGATATGTAGGGACTATTTGGAGATCTTTTATTTTTTTTCAAATAGTCTAATTCATTCATAAAATTTAAATGCTAGAATTCATAAAATGAATATAAACAATAAAATGAATATGAAAATTAAGACCACAGAAAAATGGGCCATGCTATACTTACACAGAAAATTTTGACCCATTTGTACACCGCAGTTATGTATAACTGTTATACACAAACATTTTGGGGAAAAAACTCTTAATAGGACTAAAACATATCAAATATACTTAAATAGGACTCCAAAACTTAAATCCCCCAAATAAGACTTAATTTGCATTGCCATACCCAAAATACCCCTCGCCATTTGTGACACAGAACCATTTTTTTCCTCACTGGTCGCGCTACATGTCCACAAGACCACAAGTACTTGAACCACATGTCCACATGTCCACATGTCACATTACCACAGTACAAACTCTTATTTTGTAAATAAAAACATGGAGCTCCTACGTTAGTACTTTCTCTAAAGTAGGAGTAGAAAAATGAAAATATAATAAAATAGAAGTTTCATATTTTTATCCCCAAAATATGAGTTAAAATACATTTACATTACCAAGCATGACCATGTATATTACAACAAATGCCTATGTAGAGTGTCATATTATCAGAGTGTGAACTCATATTTAGGGAATAAAAACATGGAACTCATATCATATTTTGGTACTTTCTCTATGTTTTATTTCTTTAAAATTAAAGTGATTAAACACAAAAAGATAAATGGGCCGCACAAGAAAAAATGAAATACATAGGAAGTTAATAACTCCATGTACAATAAAAAAAAGATAAGAAAAAAAGGATGGACTAATGAAGAAATTAAAAAATATTTTTTTAAAAAATAAAATACTTTTTACGAAGTAAAAGAAAAAAGAATAGAAAAATATAATAAAAAAGAAAAAGATAAAAAAACTATCTAATTTAGTAAATAGATTAAAGATCAAGTATTGGAGGTTGGAATTTAGTAAGAAAAATAAAAGCACCTCTGGTTCCAGACTTCCAGGAGTTAAGGCGTGTGTTGTTCCAAACATGACACTCTCCTTCAACAAAAATGATGGGAAAGATGGAGATGAATGGTGAAGTCTTACGTGAAAAGGAAAAAGAGGGCAAAATTGGGAGAGAAACAAAGAATGTGGCGGGACATGTCCTACTTGGGGATAAAAAACTTGAACTCTTATTTTAGGGATTAGTAGAATGTTTTAGTCCTATTAGGAGTGATTTCTCAACATTTTGATGGTTTACACC